AGCACACCTGGCCACTGCTGAGACCTGGACAGCTAGGCTAAGAGATTAATCTAGGAACACCCCCAAGCTGTGGACCTCTTTTTTTCAGTGAGAGTTTGATCCCCTCCAGCACTGGCTGCATCTCTGTTTCTTAATCTGCCTTTCCACTGACCAGAAGCACCTCTGTCTTGCCTGGGTTAAGTTTCAATTTATTCAACTTCATCCAGTCCATTACTGATTACTAGACCCTGCAGGTGAGCTGGTAAGAAATCCCCAAAGCTCGCAATTTTAATTTGCATTAGAGATGGGGACAAATTAAAAAAAACTGGTGATTCATTGTGATTTGTGATTCATCGAGGTTAATGAATCAGTGAATACGAATTTACGAATATTCATCAACAAATTGATGAATTGATTTGTCAATTCATTTTCAATTTAAAAATGGCCCCCAAGTGGCTAGAGACACCAAATTTGCAGGGAAGCTTCCTAACATGGTTTCCTACAAGTCTGGCAAGTTTGGTGAACATTGAGTAACAAACCCCTGAGTTAAATATTCAGAAGGAGGACACCACTAGTAAAGTTTCCCCCAGGTACCTAGAGAATCCTAAATTGCACCAAAGCTTCCTATGTCTTTCTCCAACATGCCTGACAAGTTTGGTGAAAGTTTGATATCGGACATCTGAGTTATTCACCCAGAATTGGGTCCTGCAGGATAGTTTACTACACGGCACAGAAGCAGATGGCAATGAGGGAGTTTGATTTGCCTCTGGCAGGCACACAGAGGCATGAGGCATTGAGGGAGAGTTTGTCTTCAGCAACATCATATTTGGCAGTGACGTAGAGTTTGGCCTCAGGAGGCAATGAGGTGTTTGTCACTGAGTTAGAGTTTGGCCCCATCAAGCACTGAGGCAATTGGTAGCGAAGCAGACTCTGGCCCCATCGGGCACTGAGGCACATGGGAGAAATGTAGATTATGGCCCGATAGGGCACTGAGGCAATTTGCAGCAAAGCAGACTTTGGCCCATTGGGCACTGAGGCACATGGGAGAAAAGTAGATCATGGCCCCATCGGGCACTGAGGTATTTTGCCCACACAGTCACAGACCAAATTCCCCCACACACAAACACAAACACTGTGTCTGAAGAGACACAAGTTAACACAACCCTCCAAAAGTAACCAAGTTTTTTAAAGTTCCACACAAACACAAACACTGTGCCTGAAGAGACACAAGTTAACACAAGCCTCCAAAAGTAACCAAGTTTTTTAAAGTTAAAGCCTTGCCAACTAAGTCTCAGAGTGAGACACACATACACATGACCACCAGAATTAAACGTTGTTGGGAAACGGATTCCACAGTCACACACCAAATTCCCACTGTGAGCACAAGCCTCCAAAAAAGAAGTAGCCTAAACTAACTGAAATCCACTAAAGAAACCCCTCCCCAAATTCCCAGTAAAGTTCTACTAATGAAATAAAGGAAATAAAATGAACAAGAAAAAAGAAGTGTCTGCTTTGCTGCCACAGAAGTGAAAAAAACTAGCCACAGCTAGCAAGCAAATAGCACACAAGCACCAGCCAACAGCCACTGTTCTCACTCCAGAGAGAATCAAAACAGAAATGGGAAATGGCTATAGGGGGAAAGCTTATAAAGCCTCTGTAAAAGTTACACACACTCCCACAGACATTTCAGCAGAGCTATTGGCTGCCTACCATGCCAATCCAGGATCTCCTGACGGATCAGAGCTTCTGATTGGCACCAGCCAAGCTCAGAGATGGCCTCTAGAGAGCCCCCCAAAAGGGTAACAAATATAGACGAATATTGATGAATCGACGAATAAAACCAGGAAAATATTTGTCAAGTCATATTCATCAGAACTTAAAATTTGACGAACACGGATCAACGAATCTATGATGAACCGGCTATATTCGTCGAAAATAGCATTTTTAAAATATTTGTCCCCGTTTGTACTCTTCATTTATGGATCTAAATGTCTCTAGTGTCATTCTGATTCTTTTCACATTGAGCAATCTTCATTCCCCCCCATACATTTATTTTTGATTCAGTTTGGTACACAGAATTCTGACTGAAAAACAAGAAGCTGCTGATTAATGCTTTTAATACCTTCCCCCAGATGTTCTACTCTGGAGAAAAAATGGCTTCAACTGCTATTGATTATGTTCAGCCAGCAGAGGGAGCAGAGGCACTATATTATAGAAGCGTTGCTTTCAACTTTTGTGCTGTTTTAAAATTTTAATAAATTTCCAATGCTCTGTTGCCCTTTGGAATCTTCTTCTATCTTCAGTCCGTTATGAGTAAAACATGTAGACCCCCAAGTGGCAGGAAGTCTCACTGACCTAACAAATTCCTCACCTTAGTTTTCTCTTCTGTATTAAACCTAAGACAGAGAAACTGAACTTGTATAGCTCAGTGGGTTAGACCACATGGCTGTGGACACTATGCCCAGGAGTTCAAACCCCCTCTTTGCCTCCCTGGGGGTGGGGTGGGGGAGATCAGCTGAGATCACCAGGTATATGTATGGCTAATGGGATGTAGTGCCTTGCACCCTATAGAGATTTGGACAAGCAGCACTGTGCCAAAATGTCACCACCATCAGAAGAAAGGACTAGCAAGCCATTTCTGAATACAGTGGTACCGCAACTTACGAATGTCTCCACTTGTGAACATTTTGAGATACAAACGGCTCTGTTCGCAAAATGTTGCTTCGACTTGAGAACGGAGCCTTGACTTATGAACGAAAAAACCTTTCCTGCCCTTCATCTTAGGTTAAAAGAAATTCTCCCCTAGTGGTAGAGTATGGATTAACCGGCTTTGCATTAGTTTATATGGGAACTAATGCCTCTACTTGTGAACAGCGCCTCGACATACAAACAAAAAACAGCCAGGATGGATTAAATGGTTTTCAATGCATTCCTACAGGAAACTTTGCCTCGACCTACGAACATTTCAATGTACGAACACCGTTCCAATATGGATTAAGTTCGTAAGTCGAGGTACCACTGTAGCTGATACTTAGAGAATGCTGGAAAGGGTTACCATAAGTTGCACTCAACTGGATGGCGCATAATGAATGAATGAATGATAAACTAAATCAAATCAAATGATATTCTCCCCTAGACCTATAGCTTTTCTGTATTCCCTATTCTTTGGGATTTGGGGAGTTGTAATTGTTGGTATATGTGTTATTTCATCATAGGCATCCTTCAGTCT